CTGGGAGAGTGGCTCCAACAGATCCCAGGAACAACATCTGAGATCTCTGTCCAGAAGAGTGCAGTGCTAGGAACAGCTAAGATACTGCACAGGACCCTCAAGCTCCCAGGCCTCTGGTAGAGGACCTGAGCTTGAAGGAAGGAATACAAGATTGTCCCAAAGTGGGGGCAAGTGGGGAATTTTATATATATATATATATATATGATATTCATAGGGTGAAAAGCTGCAGTGAAATAATTGACTACAAAACTGTAGTAATTTCATGTCAACATTTTAACATGTTTTATTTATAGTCATAGTTAAATCCTAGATGTTACCATAGTGTGCACATTTTCAGTGATTGGAGGGTGTAATAAATACACATTTGATCTAATCTTCTCTTAGAGAAGGGGGAAAGTTTTGTGATTGCTTATAAGATCATGGAGGGAAGCAGCCCATGGTTGCCAAGGGCAGGAGTTATGGAAATGTCTTCATTATGCCTCCTAAAATTATGAATATTCTTAGAGAGTTTATGGCAAAGATAACAACTGAAGGTGAGTGACTTAAGACTGAAGGAGGCAAAGACCCCAGTGATGATGTCTGTTTATGAGCTAGTTCAGAGGAGACATTCATAAAAGTAATCCCAGTCTGTGAAGGTTTTCAGGACCCTTTTCCATTTTACTATCACAGCATGGTGTGAACTGCAGGAGCCTCACAGCTGAATGTTGTTTTATTTCATATAGATTTCACCCTATAAGAGTTGTCGCTATTGGGTTTATCCCTCGCACATGCGCAGTTCTGAAAAGAAGCTGAACTTGCTATGAGCGAACTTCATGCAGCCATTAACAAACAACAGACTGCACACCCAGAGGCTGCACTTATTGTTGTGGGTGATTTTAATCACTCCAACCTAAAGTCAGTGCTCCCTAAATCCCACCAGCATGTTTCCTGACGCACTAGAGGAATTAAAACTGGATCATGTTTACACAAACACGACTGCTGCATACAAGGTGACCCCCTTCCCCCACTTGGGACAGTCAGGTCACCTTATTTTATTTCTCATTCCCAAGTACTCACCATTCATCCGCCATGTGAAGCAATCAATGAGGATCATCAAAGTGTGGCCAGAGGGGACACTAGATCTGATTAACCTTTCTCTATTAACAGGTTATGTTCCACAGGCTTTTAAACTTGCTGTAATTAAACCTCTACTCAAAAAGCCTACTCTTGACCCAGGTGTCCTAGCTAATTATAGACCAATATCCAATCGCCTGTTTATTTCTAAAATTCTGGAAAAAGCTGTTGCAAAGCAGTTATGTGACCACTTGCACAAGAATGATTTGTTTGAGGATTTTCAGTCAGGTTTTAGAGTCCATCATAGTACAGAAACCGCATTGGTGAAAGTCACCAATGATCTTCTCCTAGCCTCAGACAAAGGACTTGTCTCTGTACTTGTCCTCTTAGATCTCAGTGCTGCTTTTGCACCTGCAGCTGGAACTATTTAATATAAACTGTCCTTTTTTTATGGATGGGTTAGGCACAGGTCCAGGGGCCTCAGAGGGGCCTCAGGTGACTGACACATTTCTTATTAGAAAGTCAATCAAACCATCACAAAGAGATGCAAAAAAAGACAAAGGCCGTGTCCACGCGTGCATGGGTATTTTAAAAACGTAGCTTTTTATATACATTTTGCTGTTTTGTCTACATGCAAACTGTGTTTTAGGTCACTGAAAAAACTCTGGCCAGGGTAAAGATGTTCAGAAACTCCATAACATACAACTGTTATGATCGCTCACTCACGGGAGCGAGGTGAACAAGCAGGCGGGACTCAGGAGGCAGACGTAACCTGTTAACCTGAGATTTTATTAGAAGCAAACAGCAGGAGAATAGTGACATTCTTGGAGAAGAGGTCCAATGATGTGCTGAGACTGGGGATGAGTAGGTTCGTCAGGGAAGAGAATTCATAGTAGGTCACTGAGTGGGGAAGTCCAGGGAGAGGAGTTGGATGTTGCAGTCTGAGGCAGCAGAGAGGACAGGAGAGGATGAGTACAGCTGGTAGTGCCTTATGCTGACTGACCTGAGAGCAGAGGGGGAAGATGTCAGCCTGGAGAATGAGGCAAGTGTTGCTGGAGAGCTCGGAGGGAGACGAACAGGGATGGATGGCTAGGAGGCTGGAGAGACGTGAAGAGTTGCAGGGACAGAAAGCGGTAGTAGTTTCAGGAGAGTCAACAGGGAGAGCCAAAGTGTTGTGGAACTAATCCTCAACGTACTGGCACTGGAGGAGCGTCTGCCTGAGTCTTAAATAGGAGGCTGATGGTGAAGCAACTAGTCTCAGCTGTGTGCCAGGCCCAGGACAGAGAGCCTGCAGAGGAGAGAGGGAGAGAGAAAGAACGAGGAGAGGCAGGTGGCGCAGAGTAAATCTGACAGCAACAAACAATTCAGCTACACAGAAAAAAATGACCATATAGGAGACACAAAATAAACAGACTACAAACA